CACGACCTCCCCCGAGTCCTGCTCCGCCCGAACCACACCAGACGCCACGGAGGCCTCGCCGCTGCAGAGTGGCCTGGCTGGCCAGCCCCGTGGCTGCCGCACAGCCGTCACGGACACTGCGGCAGGCGGGACTCCCAGGGTTCCATGACGAGCCTGTGTTTCCTTCATGATTTTAAGGCTAAACCCTTCTTCTTCCCAGAACACAGACCTCCTGGTCTGCAGCCGTCCTCAGCCTCAGCTCACAGCAGCTCCCTGTCCCGAGGCCTTCGCCCTGTGGCCATGGCAAACAGGATGTGGGCATTTCTCCCCACCTGGGCAGAGGACAGCTGAAGAGGCGTGGGGGGGACAAAGAACTTCCCAGCACAGCTTCATCTGAGAAAGGATCCGCGTGCCTCCCGGGGCCAGGGCCTGACCGCCGCTTTCTGTCAGCATCTGAGAAATGCCAACCTCCTCCCCCAGGACCCAGCTGCTGCTCGAGTCCTGCATCCTGCCAGCTGCACCCAGGCCACCAGCTGGAGCAGAGAGTCGCCTACATGGAGGGCAGCACCCGGGCGCCCTGACGCCTCCCAGGAACCGCTTGCCTTTGACCAGAGGACAGGCGGCCGGTGCCCTGTGGCCCTGGAGTGCCGGCGGGGGCTGGACTGCAGCCAGACTGCAGCGGGCACAGGCCAAGCTGCTCCCAGCCTGCGGGCGGCGGGCGCTGCTGTGCAGGGAGCCCCAGGCGGAAACACAGGCTCTGCCCTCTTTTCGCTGTGAGATTTCAGCAAGTTACTTGAACTCCTTGGGCATGCATTTTATTATGTGTGACTTAAAGAAATGACAACTCTTCCCTTTGCTGGCTTGATGTAGGATTCAGTGAGGGAGCTTAAGTGGCAGCCTTGCCCAGGGCTTGCACCCAGTAAATGCACAGGGAGCCAACAGAGTGCTCCTCGCCTCCTCCGCCTCCAGGACAGGAACATCGCTTCCTGTTCAGGGGGGCTCTTCCCACGCCGGGAATTTCCGCAGGCCTGCCTCCCACAGTTCCTGCCACTTGTGGCCGGTGTGAGTGTAGGAGCGGAGGTCCCCTTTCCTTCCCTCTCAGCACCCTCCAGCCAGCTCTCCGGGAGCATCTGTTGTCCCCGCACCTGGCCATGTGGCCCTGGCCCTGGCCTTGTGGCCAGGCCTGCAGCTGGGCGTCCACCTCAGGGGTTCAGGAGCCCAGAGTTGCGGCACCAGCCAGCCACGGGCTGCCATCACCCACAGCCGCTTTCCTCTGCTCTGTCCCCCGCTGCGGCTCGCGGCCTGGTCCCTCAGCTCAGCTTTCCTTGAACTGTCGCGACGTGTCAGCGAGATAACCAGAGACGCACGGCCGCATTGGAAGGAGCACTTTATTCACTGGCGGGCTACGGGGGACAGTCTCCCCATATTGCAGCCCCGAGCTTCCTTTGTTCTTTGCTTATACAGGCACAAACTACAGAAAAAACTACATTCAAAAACCTACATTCTTCTTGGCGCCGCTTAGTTGGTGCCGGGGCTGATGCAGACTGCTCCAGGCAGGGGGAACCTGTTGCAGGGGTCAGGGCCATCGTTAATCTCTCTCTTTTTGTGGTCCCTCCAAGTTCCCCAAGGCATCATTCACCCCTTATCTTTATGGTTCCTCTGCGTGTCAGTCCCAGGGTTTTTAGAAAACTGCTCGGGTGTTTACGTGCAGGAATAACTGATCAGAATGGAGTTTAATTTTTAAAATAGCCCAAATCAGAACAAAATGCTGTCGGACTAAGGGTTTTGCTTATTCTCTCCCATAGTGCTAATGTCTCCTACGTGATGGTGAGTGTGACCCCGGGAAGCACCCCTTGCGTTGTGTGCACAGTAAAACCAAAGCTCTTCCTAGCAGTGCCCCAACTCTGCGTGGAGGGCTCCTGAGTCCTCTCCCTCCCTGCGCTCTCTCCCTCTCTCTCTCTCTCTCTCTCTCTCTCTCTCTGGTGATGACCCACAAGCGGGCTGAGACTTACTGTTTGTCAGACACTGCCCTCACTAAAACTCACAGACAGTAGTCGCACCTCCAAGGTCAAAGACTCGCTGTCCATTTCTTGGGACCTACCCTGGTTTCTGCAGCAATGTGGAGACACAGAGACACCAGGCACCCAGGTGTTGTCTCACCATCTGCCAGGACAGTGCTGGGAACCTATGGAAATCCTCTGCATGGACTCCCAGCACCTGTGAATTGGTCACTTGGATGACCAGCTTTGAATGACATCAATCAGGAGTATTAATAAGAATCGGAATCAAAGGTGTGGCTAACAACTGAGTAAACACCTATTCTGAGCTCTGTACCATGTAGTTATTATTGTCTACATTTTATATAAAATATGCATCACTTCTCACTCCTACCACAAGCTGGGCATGTGTGCAAGGTGTGCAAGGTGTGTAAGGCAGTCAACAGCAAACGTGCTGACAGCACCGCGGTTAAACTGGGGAAGCCAGGATTTGAACCAGAGCTGTCACCAGGGTTACATGGTGCGATCTGATGCTCCAGTCTTCAGAAAGGACTAGACTTTCAAATAACAGTCACAGCTATCATTCGGTGTCAGGCACACATCGCAATGCTGGGCCTGCAGCCATGAGGAGTGGTTCGGGGGCCGATGGAGCACCCCTCTACTGGGAGCGTCCCAGTCTCGAGGAGAGCGAGGGCAGAGAAATATAGGGCACTGTGGTCTCTACAAAAGATCAAGTTGAGGCCTCTCGTGCCTGTCTAATCTCGGGGCTGGGTGGTGTCTCATTCTGATCTCAGACCCCCACATGGACATAAATTATACCCTGCTACACTGTAAGTGCACCATATGACTGTCCATCGGACCCCCACCTGATTTCTGAGCTCAGTGCCATTCTGATCCCAACACACACGTAACTTTCTCCCCAGCAGGGGGTGGATTTTCCTTCTAGGCTTATAAGGGGTGTAGGCAATGAGGGTGCTGTCCCTACCATCTCCAGACGCAAGAGATCCAAACCCAGACTCTGGAGCCTCAGTGTCCCAGACAGTGAACAACATCTGGGGAGAAAACTGAGAACCAGGGGAAGGTGAGCACTGTTGTGGGTGCTGAATGTTTATACATACTCGTCTGTCGGCCAACTCCTAGTCATCCTCCACGGGCCAGTCCTGGAAAACCTTCTCTTACAGCAGCACTTCTCAACCCTGTGAGTCTCAACCCCGAAGGCCTGTCACCACAGATGGCTGGCTCATCCCCAGCATTTCTGACAGTGTAGGTCTGGGGTGGAGCCCCCAAATTTGCTTTTCTAACAGGTTCCCAAGAAATGCTGTTGTTCCAGGGACCATACTTTCCTGCCAAACTACCGAATGGCTGTCTCATACCATCCCCACCTTCCCAGACGGGCTCCCTCCTCTGTGCCAGTGTGATCTGGGCGGCAGTTCCGGTCCTCCTGAAGGGTCACTGCTCCGGAGTCAGGAGTACTGTGGAGCCGGCGCGAGTTCAGCTCTGCCCCGCTGCAGGGTCTGGGCAGGGAGAGCAGCTTCCCTGCCCACCAGGCCCTTGGTGGACATGACCTCTAGGGACCCCAAGTTGGGAGGCAGCCCAGGTCCCACCAGCCCCCGCCTGGCCGGCCTGCTGCAGCGCTTCTGCTGCTCCAGTACATCACTTTGGGTACCTGGTCCCTAAACACAAGCCAAGAAATGCACCCCAAGTGATCCAAGCCAAATGCCTTGGGTGCTTACCCAGCTCACCCAGGCTCACACTGACAAACCTTCAGTAAAACGCATCCAGAAAAAATAAAGAGAGAAAGGACCCAAGTAAACAAAATAAGAAATGAAAGAGGAGACGTGACAGCTGACCTCACAGAAGTGCAACGTTTTATAAGAAAATACTACAAACAAGCATATGCCAAGAATTGGGACAACTTGAAAACAAGGGATACATTTCTAGAATATACAAGCTTCCAAGACTGAACCGGGAAGAAACAGAAAATCCGAACAGTCCCATAAGTACTAATGAAGTTGAATCAGTAATCAAAGAGCCCTCCGCAAACACATGACCCCGTTGCACTATAATTAACGTGGAAATGACTACTGTGAAGTGGCCTTCTCTGTTTCGATGTATGTCGTTGGTGTAATGGGAACACGGGATTTCCATGCTCACGCTGACACCCGTGCTCTGACAAACCCTTCCTCTCCCTCGTCGCCCGGAAGGTGGAGACCCTCTGCAGCAGACCCAGGTAGCGTGCAGGTCCCTGCTCCCCTGGGGGTCCCAGCCACAGCCAGACCCGAGCTGCAGAGGATCTGTAATGTGGAGAGTGCTGCAGGGGGCCCCCCCACTGGGGAGTGGGTGTGCAGGGCTGTAGAGGCATCTGGGAGGAACCTCCAGGTGGGAGCCACGGGCTTCCAGAGATAACAGGGAGTGCAACCCCAGGTGAGAGCCCAGCCCACTGGACGAACAGTGTGACCATGGGCAGGGCGCTTCCTGAGCATGTGTCCTACCTGTGAAATGGGCTGATAACCCCATACTAATGTGCATTGTGTGACTGCTGCAAAGACCACATGATATAACAGATGGCAACTGACGTGACACCTGGCACAGGCGGGCCGCCCACGTGCGCAGACACACCGCCGATGCTCTGGTGTCACCACTGTCCTGAGAAACGCTGAGATGGTGCTGGCACTACCCGCACCAGCGGGCTCACCTTCATGCCACCACCGGTGTCCGCTGAGCATCTGCCGGTGCGCACCAGGGTCAGGGACACCGCGGGTAGCCCGTCCCCCCTCGCAGCCCCCCGAGATGCCCTCGCTGGCCCCTCGACGGTTCTCACTGTGCTCTCCAGCACCGTCAGCAGCCACGCGGACGGGTCTGTGCACCTTGGCCAGAGGCCTGTTGTGCAACATGATGTCTCCTGTCCACTCTGGGCCATTCACACAGCGGCTCCCACGTGGCAGGGGGTGCAGGCTGGGCTGAGATGCTGCCACTGTGGGGGAACTTGCTCTCTCAACTAAGGCTCCTCTGTTCTGTTCACAGAGCCCGGCCCCAGCATGGCCTGGACGACAGAGGACATTGCCGTCATTGCAGGTGAGCTGGCCTGGGCCCTTCAAGCAGTGCGGCGGGTCAGAGGCAACGCTCGGAGAACTCACCTGAGGACTCAGCCAGGGGCGCCATGACTTCCCTCTCTCAAGGATGTTTTGAATGTGGTCTGGGGAGGCTGGCCCTGTAAGAAAACGTCCAACACAGTGTCCCGGTGGGTGTGGGGAGACAGGAGCTGTGCCAGGGGCACCACCTCAGGGTGCTCAGGCTGAGGAGTCACAGAGATGGAGGCTGGAGACAGAGCCGCTCCAGTCGGGGTGGGGGTGCCGATGGACCAGGGCTCCCTGAACTCTTCTCTGTGTCCTCATATCACCCACTCCCAGTCCTGGCTCCACACCCCATCCCTCCATCCTAAAGTGAGGTGGCCCTGCTCTAGCCTTGCGTCAAACCCTGCGCTGGCCCCACTGGTCACGGTGGGGACCCCAAACTGTGCTTCAGGAGAGGCTAGTTTGGGAGGTGTCGCCTGCTGTTTCTTCTGAGAATCGTGCATCTCCCCAGCTCACTCAGGGCACAGGGACTTGACAGTCAGATATAAGTAAGTAGAAGCCGGCCCTCGGGCTGCCGCTCAGTTCTGGGTAAGCCGACGTCCTCCAGCCCGTTGGACCCCGAACCCTTCTCCTTACACAGTGTGATTAACATCCTGCACAGAAGTGCTGTCCTGAAGGCAGCAAGTTTAGGAAGTTGTTCCTCAAAGGTGGGACCTGGGAACAATTCGCACCTCCTGTCTTCCCTAGTGTCTCCCACAGCCCACAACCAAACGTGTCACCCTGGTCTTTCCCCCTGAACGGAGTGCATTGGGCAGTCAGCTCCGCCCAGGTTCCCAGCACCTTGAAAAGCCATGCCCCAAGGGAACCCTGGTTCCAAACGGAAAGCTCTGCGTCCCTGGAACCCCTCAGGTGTAGGCAACCCCACGGAGTTGCATTATTCACATTGCAAATCGTGCACTCAGGTCTGTCTGTCCTGATGCTCTGGGGTCGGGACTGGAACAGTGTTCCAGCCTGTGTCTGCACCGTGCTGAGAGGGGTCGGGGCAGGGAGGAGGGGACAAGGGAGAGGAGGGGTAACTGCACTGGGCAGGGGAGAGTGGCAGGAAGGAGCCAGCCTCCGTCCAGCCACCCCGTGTGCCCTGACCTGCTGCTCCGGTTTCAGGCCGCGCTGTGCTTTCTGCCCCTGCAGGCGTGATCGCCGCCGTAGCCTTCTTCCTGGTCGGCCTCCTGCTCGTCATGCTCTACTACATGTACCGGCACAAGGGCACCTACCACACCCACGAGGACAAGGGCACGGAGTTTGCTGAGAGCGCAGACGTGGCCCTGCAGGGTGACCCGTCCCTGCAGGATGCTGGCGACAGCAGCAGAAAGGAGTACTTTATCTGAGGGCCTCCCCTCCCCCGTGCCTCCTCCTGCTCCTGACTCCACTCCGCCCCTGCACTCACCTGGCCCAAGACATGCAGGCGGCCCGGGAACACCGTGCTGGGCCAGGAGCTGGGAGGAAAGGAGGAGGAATCCAGTCAGGAGCCTCTCCCAGGGACACCGCGAGCACCCGGGGGCCAGCCTTTGCTCTGCCCGGGGAAGAGGCCGCGTCTCCCTGGGCCCTGGGCAGTGCAGGTTGTCACCGGTGTGGTGTGCAAGCCCTCGCTGGGTGTGAGTAGGGTGGGTGGGGCTGGGGCTGAGTCAGCACTGGCGAGACGGGGCATCCAATGTCCTTGACATCTGGGGAGCAGCAAGTAACCGAGCCAGACCTGCCTCTGTCTTCCACTGACCCAGCTCTAAGGGATTGGAAATAAATTTGAAACAAAACTGAGCACTCAGAGTCAAGTGGCCTTAGCCTGATTGCCTGGGGAAGAGTGAGCGCCACCCAGCACTGGCTTTCCACGGGTGCCACAGTGCGTCTCGGTAGAGCCTGCAGGCGTGCCTGGGGCTGGACGTCCACTCCGGCTCCATTACAGGCCCCGCACAGACCCACGCGGGGCTCCCGGGCCGCCGAGGATTCTCTTCCCCACACAGGCACCACGAACCAATGTAAGGGCGGACGGTCCCTCTAGGAGTAGGCTGTCCCAGCCACCACGGCCCTGGCTGCAGCACTGATTCTGTAGAAAACATGGACCTGTTGAACAATATGCGTGAACTCCGTCCTCCCCATTTAACAGTGGCTGGGGCGCAGGTCCACTGGGTTTGGGCCCTGGCTCCCCTTTCCTGGTCCTGGAACTTGGTCCGCTTGCTTGGCCTCTCTGGCCTCAACGTTGTCAACCCTGGAGAGGACATCCCTCCACGGCACCGGCTCAGGGTCGAACGCAGGACACGCAGGCGGGCTCTCAGGGCCGGCCCGGCGGACACGTGGCACCGGGCTACGTTGCGCAGTTAACAGAAGAGCCCGGTTGCACCACTGCTAAATGCTTTCTGAGTGGTAATCATCCTTTGACATGAGCAGCAGGAAATAAAGGAGAACTGCCCGGCCTTCCTCTTTCATAAGCATCCCTCTAAGATCCCCAGCAGCTCAGCCATCACCCAGAACCCAGCATTAAAGACGCCCCCCCACCCGCTACCAGGAACCCCTGGAGCTCAGGTTTGCCAAGGCTGCACCACCTACCACTGGGAGTCGGCAGAAAGGGCCCCAGATGATGAGACCAAACTGCGTCGCGAACGGCCACCACCGAAGGAGCTGGAAGTCCTAGGGCTGTCGTGGGGGAGAAACCGAGAGAAGAAAGGAGCATGGGCAAAAGGCGAGGCCGTTCCCTGGGTGACCCGAGCTTTCTGGCCCCCCGCCATCTCATCTGGAAAAGGAAGGGCTTGGCGGCATCTCTACGTCCCAGACTGCTCAGTGGAACACCGCGGGGCAGCGTGGTGATCAGCAGCCGAACGCAAAGGCTGCCTGGGCGGATGGGTTTGGGTGATGACTATTAAGCCGTGAAGGCTTCCCAGCATGCCTGCGTCCCGGTGCGTGCCGGCACCGAGGTGTAAGGGGTAGGGAAACGAATGCAGCCTCCCCAGTGGATGTGGCCAGAGACCCCATTTCTTCCCAGAAGACCCACTACAGATGTGTGCACCAAGAGGTCCTCAGAACATGTCTGGGAAACACTAAACGACTTCCAACGCCCTTTCCTGTTGTGACATCACTTTAGGATTTGAAGACCATGTGGGCCTATGGCCTCGTCTTCAAGGACTGTAAGCAGAGATCACCGTCTAGACACGCTTTGCTCTACACAAGGCTCCGGGGAGAGAGGACGAGCAGAGCCCTGGGCTGCTGCCCGTGGGGAAGAGGAACGCTGGTCACTCTTCCCTCCCTCCTCCTGCAGGTCCCCCAGCCCTGTGTACTGACTGCTGTCTGAGGACTGGCCCCTTGGAGGCAGGACCTTTGTCCCCTCCCTTCACGTGTCCTGGTCCTCACCCTGCCTACCCATCGTCCTAGAAAACTCTCTGGCAGAACAGCCAGCTCCCAGCCCGCGGGGTCTCCAGGCCAGTGTGGCCGATGCAGTGTGACCTGGAAGCTGCCGGGTTGGACTGTCCAAGAGACCAGTCCAGATACCGCCCAGGAGGCAGCTGGCACTGGCTGACTGCAGAGAGGCCAGCAGTAGAGCAACCTAGTAAGACAATGTGCACATCCACACACACGCACACACGCGCACACAGGGGCATGCCATGCACACCAGTGTGCTAATGACCGGTGCCCCTCCCCTTAGGTCAGGAAGCACACTTTCCTCACCTCGGAAATCTCCCCCAGGGCCCTGCCAAGGAGTGGAGACAGCCCTCACCGTGGGGCAGGCCCCTTACCCAGCTTCCTCTCCTCTCCTCTGGTCTTCACGTGGCCCCGCCCGTCCTGCCTGCTGGGAAAGGACCTCATCCTCCCCAGAAGACGGGGCAGCAGGTCGGCTCCAAGCCGATTGTCAGGAATATCAGAGAACGTTTTCTTCAGTGGAAGGAACTGCTGAGGAGTGTATCCTGTTTATGTTCCTTTGGAGGAGACACTGCTCAGTTGTTTTCCAGTTTTTGCCTGAGCTTTTTCATCATCGTAGCAACGGGGATGATGTAGGTGCCAGTGGGGCTGTAACCGGCCCCCTGCCACAGACAGGACTACCTGCAGCACTTGGGAGTGCCCACCAGAGACGGGTGGATAAAAGAAGGGCGGTACACGTATGCAGCATTACTCAGCCACACAAAAAATGTGAAATCTCGCGATTTGGGACAGCATGAATGCACCTAGAGGGTATTATGCTACGTGAAATAAGTCAGACAGAGAAAGACAAACCACATATGATTGTACTTATATGTGGAATCCAAAGAACAAAATAAATAAACAAAATTGAGGCAGACTCATAGATACAGAGCTCGGACTGATGGTTGCCAGAGGGGAGGGGGATTGGGGAACTGGGTGAAAAAGTTGAAGGGATTAAGAAACACGAATAGGTAGTTTCAAAACAGTCGGGGGGATGTAGGACACAGCATAGGAAATATACTCAATAATATTGTAACAGCTAACTATGCATGGTGCCAGGTGGGGACTGGAACGATGGGGGGATCACTTTGTAAAGTATATGATTATCTAACCACTATGCTGTACACCCGAAACTAATACAGAATAAGATTGAATGTAAACTATAACGAAATAAAATTTTTAAAAGACTCTACCATGAGCAATAACAACAGCACTCGCGAAGCCCTGGTTTGCGGTCCAGACCGCGCTGGCTGTGTTTAGAAAGCCGGTGGCGAAGGCGGACTTAATGGCTCCACCTTTAGCAGGTACATAAGCTCCAAAGACCAGAAATGGAAATGATGACCTAGCTTGTACAGCACTTCAATTAAGTGCCAAATAAAGTGTGCCTCTCAAAAAAAGAACTAGAGACACTTTTGTGTTTGCTATGTAACATGTCCCCATATTCTTGAAAGAGAATGACTCTGGAATCACACAGAGTTGAATAAAAACCTCCCCTCTGGCACTAATTAGCTCTGTGACCTACGAAGAGTTACTTAACTTCTCTCCTTCAGTTTGAATCAACAACATGAAGATAAAATATTTTACTTTTAGGCTGCTTTGAATATAAAATTCTCGAAGGATAGGAGCTGGTCAGGAACTGTAACAAGCCAGCCTGCGGCCCTCCCGTGGATGGACAGAGGCACGGACTCCTTGCTCAGAGCTGGGAGCTCTGCCACTCACAGCACAGTGGGGCCGTCAGCCTCTGCACATCCCATCCGGTGCCCTTGTCCCCAGGTCCCGAGGGCAACAGAGAGGGTCTCGGGTGGGTGCTCACATCCAGAAGGGGGTCCTGAGCTAGGAGAACCAGAGTCTCCTTTGATAGGGGTAAGGTGCCTGCCCTCTGTTCTGCAGGAACAAACTGTCTGCATCTCCCAGGGCCCCTCACAGAGCAAACATCCTAGAAAAGATTGTCCAGGACAGGGAGCAGCCTCACGCACAGGATGTAAGAGATGGGGAGACCCCCCGGAATTACCGCCCAAGTAGGAAGGCTCTGCCTAACGCAGTGCCTGGTAGTGAGTGCTGACTACACACCTGCTGAGAAAGTGTGCAGACATGAAACCCTAGCCATGTGCTGACCACCGGGCTCAGAGCCCTGGAAGGTATCCCGCCTCTCACCAGGGAAAGGGTTAGTAATATTCTAACAAGTAACGGTAAAAGCTAGCAAAAGGCAGAAACTATGAAAAACAGGTTGCTTGCATGACCTTTGCTCAGCCTTCTGTTGAGTGAAGATTATCAGGTTGTCCGCAAGACAATGAATCACCCAGCAGATGCCGGATGAGATACCAGACCAGTCCAACTGCAAAGTGGACAATGGGCCGGGCAGAGTATGTCAGCAAGAACTGCTGAAAGCTAGAAGTAGAGTATACAACCTACACCCCAACTGTTACTCGAGGCTGACCCCTTTCGGCTCAGCCCACCTGCACCCGGGCGCATGCTATAAAATCGTTTTGCTCTACATCGGCCTTGCGCTGTGGATGTGATCTCCCGCCAGCTCAGACCTTTTACTTGGTGCCGAAACCCAGGAGGTCTGTGAGGATCCCACATAGTGGGCAACCACAGGCCCCGAAGTCCTCCGGGCCTCCTTTTGGACAAGGGATTGATTACATCCTCAGCCGGATACTGGACCTCTAACCTTTCCTGCCGATCAAGCATCACCACCGGACACTAATTCGCTGGTGAGTGTTTTTGCCTACAGGTCTGATTCTCCGGGCTGTCCTGTTATCTCCCCCCCAGGACATGAGAGCCAGGTCTCTCAGGCACATCTGTGTGATCATCCCCCTCGAAATCCAGCGCTGGTCGGGACACACTCCTCGGGAACCAGGTTTCCTCAGCTCACCGTATGTCCAGGGACACCTGATATAGGTGAGTTGCCTGTCTCTACTCTGGGGAGAAGGGGGGACACTTTCTTCCACTAGTGTATCCGTCAGACCGCTAGGCCACGACATCTCACACCACAACATGGGAAACGCTCAACTGTCCGTATCTCGTGCAACACCCCTAGGATGTCTCCTAAAAATCTGCAGACCCCACGGCTCACTCAGAACTTACATCCCAAGTGACTCCATTTTTACTGAAACCCTGCGTGGCCTCAGTACAAATTAGACAGTGGGTCACAATAGCCTGAGAACAGTACTTTCTACATTCTCACCGACCTAGACAATTTCTGTCAAAGGCAAGGAAAATGGTCTGAGGCTCCTTACATCCAGGCCCTTTGCACTCAGATCACACCCTTCTTTACGCGATTCTTGCTCTCCCTCCCAAATCTTCCTGCTCCACTCTCTTCTCCCAAACCTCCCTCTAAAGAGGGTGAACTAATTTCTCCTGTTTTCTCCTTTGACCCTGCCGTTCTCGCTCCACCACCTCCTCCCTCCGCCCCTCCGCAGGGCCTCCTCCTCCAGCCCCTCTGCGGGCCCCCACCCACCCTGAACCTGCTGCTCCAGACCCGACTCCTCTCCCGCTGCAAAGGACCCCCGCACACAGGCGATTCGGAACCGTCTCTGCTCCCTATCCGTCCCCGACCTCAGCCCCCATTTTAGATGCCCCCTGAGGGAAGCAGGAGGAGCTGAAGGGATTGTCAGAGTTCATGTCCCCTTCTCTCTCTCAGATTTGTCCCAAATAAATAGAAGATTAGGATCCTTTACTGAGGATTCCACCAATTATACTCAGGAATTCGAGTCCCTTACCCTGTCCTACGATCTAGCATGGAATGTTCATGTTATTTTCTCTTCCATTAATCCAGAAGATACAGATCGAGTCTGGGTTACTCAGGGCCATGCTGATAATCTGAGGCGACAGGCCCCCACTTAGACGGTAGGATCCGAAGCAGTCCCTAGCCAGGACCCAGGTGGCACTATCAGGATGATGGGGCGGGTGGAAAGCCAGGACCACATGATAATACGTCTCACTGAGGGACTTTAAAAAGCCTCACACAAGGCCGTTAGCTATGAAAAACTGTCTGAAATAATCCAGGAAAGGAATGAAAACCCTGCGACCTTCCTGTCCCCCTTACACAGGCCATGAGGAGATGCACTAACTTAGATCCCACCAGCCCAGAAGTACTGTCATTTTAAACCTGAGATTTATCTCTCAGTCAGCCCCAGACATTAGGAGAAAGTTACCAAGAACTGGAAGATGGCCCTCAAACCCCTCAATGGGAACTTCTAAATCTAGCCTTTAAGGTTTTTCGTAATCACGATGAAGAGGCTAAACAGCAAATAGCAGAATTCCAGATGCCTGCCTCTGCCATCAGAGCCCCACTGTTCGAAGGGTCAGCAAACCCCCTTCCGGGGACAGAGAAAGGGCCCCACCAGAATCAGCAGAGCGGACGCCCAGGTTCCTACTTTAAGTGCAATCAGACTGGCCATTGGGCAGGACAACGCCCCAACCCCCGACTACCGCCTAAGCCATGTCCTCCATGTGGAGGGCCCACTGGAAGTCGGACTGCGGACAGACTGCGCAGAGTCGGTCCTCACCCCTTCCTCGGGCTGGCAGGACGGGCAATCCAGGCCTGGATCTGATTGGCCTGGCGGCTGAAGACTGAAGGTGCCCAGGAACGGACACTCGACCGTCATCTCGAACTCTGAACCTCAGGTAACTCTGATGGTAGCAGGTAGGCCAATTTCATTGTTAATCAATACCAGGGCAACCGACTCTGCCCTTCCCGAGTTCAGGGGACCTCTTCAGTGCTCTGGGGTTTCAGTTGTGGGAACTGATGGCCAAATATCACAGCCCAGGGCAACCAGACACTCACTGGTTCTCCAGGCCCTTACATCCTCCTCCACTCTGTTTTAGTGTGACCAGCCTGCCCCCTCCCTTGTTAGGGCGGGACACTCCATCTAAACTCCATGCTACTCTAACCTGTACTCCTACCCTCCCCCCAACCCCTCTCTTTCTTTACTTTGCCTCCTTCAAGGATCGGCCTCCTCTCCTAACATAACCCCCCTGCCATTACCTCCAGAGCTAGTTAACCCCATAGTGTGGGACACACCCCTCCCTTCTGTAGCTAAGCGCCATACGCCAATCAAAGTATCTCTCAAAGATCCCTCCAGAAGCCCAAAAAGGACTGAAACCTGTCTTAACTTGACTCCTAAAGAAAGATTTATGCCACCTTACCCATTCTTCCTATAATGCTCCCATTTCACCTGTACGCAAGCCCGATGGATCTTAGCGCCTAGTGCAGGACCTCGCATCAGAGATCAGGCCGTTACACCCAGTTACTCCTAGCCCATACACCCTTCTCTCCCCAGTCCCGGCTAACACACAGTTCTTTGTGGTCCTAGACCTTAAAGATGCCTTTTTCTCTATTCCCTTACATCCAGACTCCCAAAACCTTTTTGCTTTCACCTGGACTGACCCGGACACCGGACAGTCCCAACAGCTAACCTGGACTGTTCTCCCTCAAGGATTTCGGGACAGCCCCCACCTCTTTGGGTGGGCCATAGCCAGTGACGTGCGGCACTTAGACATGAAGGGGTCCACTCCTCTTCAGTGTGCAGATGACCTCCTCCTTCGTAGTCCCACCAGAGAGGATTCTGAAAATCATACCGCCTGTTTATTGAATTTCCTTGCAGAAAAAGGGTACCGGGTTTCCCCTAAAAAAAGCTCAACTTACAACTCCTCAAGTAACCTACTTAGGGCTCGCTCTTGCTCCCCACCTCAGAGGGACCCCTGCAGGCCAAATCTCCCTCGTCTCTGGAACCCCAGTCCAGAGACTAAGCAAGACCATCTTTCATTTTCAGGCCCAGCAGGTTACGTCAGCCTGTGGGTTCCTAATTTCACACTTGTAGCTAAACCTCTCCATCA